CCTTTCAAAGAAAGCTGTAGCAAGATTGCAACTTGATTCTGATTTTGTACGAATGCTTTTCTGAATCACCCGTCCCCAAGGGGTTAAAGAATCCCTGTGACATTTCCATGGAACCCTAGCACTCCATGGAACGCCTTTTGGGAACCGCCAGTCTTATCCCTTCCCGAATACTGCTTTCAAAATCTGTGCTTTATGTAGAATAAAAAGTACTTTAATGGAAAAAGATACAGATTATTTATGCTAAAAATATTTGTCATTCCATAGTGCTATCTACTATTTGAATTTTGAAATTGGAGTTCGTTCGCACCTAGTAATATTAATAATTAGTATTAATTTTGTTATAGAGAAGCTGAACAAGCCTTTGCAATCGAATTCAAAAATCAACGCCTCCTATAACTGAAAGCCTCCACACGATTTTTTATAGGTAGTCCGGTCAGGCCACTGTGATGAATATACCATACCTGCCAACTCTTCCGGAAGATTTTATTTTCATATTTGAAGTGGTAGCAATACTCAAATTATTCCAATTAACTTTTTGAATTATAATGATAATTATAAATGAGTTTGACCACCACTACATATAAAGAATTACAATAAATATATGAAAGAATAATAGTCCTTGCGCAAGCGAATTTTAACGGGTTCAAAATAAAAAAATATTTTTGAGTCAGATTGTTTTTCGGTTATTGTTTTACAACCACTCTGAAAATCCATTCTCGGAAAGAGTGATAGTTGGCAGATATGATATCCACTTACAGTATAACGAGTCATTTAATATAGAATATAGTTAAAATAAGAGAGTGGTAGCAAATATATGACTAAAATTTTATTTTACTTATGAATATTATTGGTTTGCCTCATTCACTTGTCAACCACTACAGATTCAATTCTCAAGTATATAAAATAAACTTCTCTCAATTACTTTTATAAAAGATTTTGGGTTCATGTGCACAACTGGTTCACTTTTTAAATAGTCTGGGCGGACTACTTATAAAAGACAGTGTGGATGCTTTTTGATGTAGGAAGTGATGGTCTAGCTGGGCTCCTGAGGCCAATAATGGCCCTTTTTCCATTTATCCTATAATGAGAACATAAGCAAAAACAATAGACAGATGACATAAAATGCAACAAATAATGGCACACGTCAAAGTAGAGAAAAAAGATTAATTCACTTTGCCATGGTAATAAGTAACAAATAATTGAATATCTAGAAAAATACAAGACTTATTTACAAGTTGGGAAACAAAAATTACAAGAAGAAAAAATATTTACAAAAAATGATTCCTCTACCGTCGCATTTAAATATATAAAAATATTAATTTGAGGAAATAAAATATTCTGGTAGCTACAAACAGTAATACAAAAAAAAATTATATTAATAATACTACCACTTTTTTCCAGACGCATATGAACCCTGTAAAATATTGCAATGGTATAGGTATTCATATTTTTTAATATATAAGTGTGAACAAAAAATGATTAATTATTTTAGAAATAAATAATTGAATAATCAGTCTTTTCTTTAAAATAGTTATGTAAATTTCTGAAAATAGGTAGCTACATTTTTTAAAGCAATCTTACTGATATAACTTTAAGGGAAAAAAGAAATATTTACAATACTCAAAAAGTACTCAAAACTTAATAATATTACATGAATTTGTATACTGATTTTTTCATAACATTTGGCATTCAAATTATTTATTCAAAACTATTATATTAGTTTATTTCAAGTTGTTTTACGTACATGCTTGCTGCAAAATTCGTTTTTCACTTAAAAATTTTTGCAATTTAAAGTCGAAAAATTCTCTCCCAGATGCGTTTCATACGAAAAATAATACGTTGTGGTTTTTACAAATATTATAGTTAAGTAAATTATTCCTACAGCAACCCGTTATTGATCGAGAGGTTGTCACGGTGCTGAAGAAGACGCTATACTACGAGAGAAACTTTTCATTGCAAATTCTGTTTCTCATCCATGTGTATTTTAAAGTTTGGAGAAAAATGTATTCAGGTTAGTCTAGTTAGTCTAGAGTAAATCGCGAAGTTTCAAATATTGAAAGAATATTTTCAAAATATCACAATGCAAACAAATTATAGCATGATTACTTTCCCACTTTGTAATCGTAAGTAATCCTCTCACAATTTGTTTACATTTTGTTATTTTGAAATTTTCCCAGCATTCGACACTTTTTAGTTAAACTATTTGTCCGAAATTTGAACGCATCTTACACGTATCTAATTTCAAATCTACAATCTTTTCCTTACTACAAGCTTTAGTTTTTATGCAATTCAATAATATATTCCTAACCAGGATTTTTTTTTTTCGTAATTCATTTTTGTGAATGCTAAGTGTCTCCACTTCTCTGCTACGTGGGAAGTGGTAGGAAAAAGGCTATAATTTTTATCAGATTATGATGCAATACGTTAAGATCATATGCTTTTTTTTTTCCTTAAGTGTTATTTTTAAAGGAACATACAAGTGTATATGTATGTATTTAAAACTATACGTTGTTTATAAACTAGTTCATTCACACAAAATACAAACTAAACTGAAAACAACATTTTGAAAACTCTGCAGTTTACGAAACAAAACCAATTTCAGATATGAAACCCCCACTCACGGATTAGATAAGATCAAGTGCTTGTATAAATGCAACGAAAAATTTGATCCTCAGTGTAATCAATGAAAATGAATTGGTGAACTGTTTATAATTTCCTTGGGCTTTGATCTTTTAAATTCGGCGTACAGTCTGCAAAATATTAAATAAAACGCTTAAACACCAAGATTCCCTGCTAGGGGCATCTTTTTTTATTATTATTACTAATGGAAAATGTGCTTATACGAAAAAAGATGTTAAACGCTTTATCTAATTGTATATTTTCATTGTTAGCAATCGCTTTAGTTTTTAAAGAAATTTGCATTTTTATAATTTCAAATAAAAAATAAGAATATGACGGAACTAAGTTTCTTAATTCTCCAAAAATAAAATCCGTTGATTGAAAATGGAGTTATTATTTTTTATCTCTTTCAAAATAAAGTATGTTCCCAAAATGGGAAACTTTGGTCCTTACTGTGGACTTAACTTTTGTTCTAATTAATCGATTTCGTTCAAATCTTGTATTTTGTCATTTATAATTATATAGTTTAACTATTAAAGCACTGGGATGTCGCCTCTGATGTGACAACAAAAGTCACCACTCTAAAATTAAAAACTTTATATGTTAATTATTAGTAACCACGTTATTTAATGAATTTTAAAAATTATGAAAAATACTAAATTATGTACTTTACATGATTCAATGCTTTCATTTGTTCAAATAGCATTTTAACCCTTTCGAAGGCCGTGGCAAGTATACTTACCACCACTTTTTAAAGTCCATGGTAAACTTTTTTACCACTTTTAATTTAGGTTTCCATTTGTTAATAACTTCAGCTTTCTTGAAGTCGGTTTGAATAAATTTGGTAACCATTTGCTAGTTTAAGAAAACGTATAAAATTTATAAAATACATAATTCCTTTTGAAGTTTGTAGCAGTTATAAAATTTATTTTATAAATAACGAAAAATAAAAGTCAATAAGTTCCTAATACGTCGTGGTAAATATACGTACCACCAAAAAAAAAAAATGGTATTAAAATTTAGATTAATTTTTTTAAGCTAAATTAGTTTTATTTCCTTATATCAATTACGAATCTTATATCAATTTCAATTCCAAAAATTCTTTTATTTACCTTTAGTAGAAATAAATGGCCCATTAAAGGGTTAAAGTACTTGGAGTGCTAAGGGTTAAAATTACGCATTGCATGCCTTAAAAACAGTAAAATTAAAATTAAAATTTTATACCATTATTCTAAAGCAATGAAAAAAATTAGTATTTATAATTAATTATTAAGGACTTATCATTGGATGAATGAGTTTTACATTTGCTACGAATTTCTGATTCGTTAAAATGGTTTCAGAAATGTCATGAAGTTACAAAAAATTTAATTAACATTAAGAGGTGCAAACTTTTGACTGTTAAACTGGTTAAGCTATTGTGACCATAACATCCAAACTCTGATAACCCTTTACCCCGCTATTTTGTATTCCAATAATCCAAATTTGTGAAGAAGAAGAAAAAAGGTTTGTTTATTCAGATATAGTTTGTCTTTGTCACTGACTCCGTAACTCATAATATCAACTACGCAAGCTAATAGGCATGTATAAAGGGAAACCCGCGTACCATTAAAATCACATCTGAGTACGCCATTATTCGATCATTAATTGAAAAGTTATTAAGGTCTTCTATTCTTTATTTTGAGCACTGAACAGTTTTCATAAATGCATGACGCTTTCCTTTTACCTATTCAGTTATGATAAAGGTTATGCCAAATGGCATAACTAATGGTAAACGTAATTATATTAATAGTAACTTTAAATTGGAAACGCGCTGTCATTTGCTTTGATTCTAATAAGAGGTCATGCATGGAATTTTTGAATAGCTGTCATTCAAAATCATTAAAGTAAGTACTTAAAAGATATTGTTTGTATTCGTTCAGTCAATTATTTGAAGACTTAGCTCTTTTTTTTTTCTGTGTTAGATACAAGAACAGACTTCGGAAATAATTTCCTTTCATTTTTTTTATACTAATTGCACAACTGCATAGTTCAGTTTTTTCAAACTTAAATAAGTACCTATGCTAAGATACGATCGATGCCATGCAAGCTTAAATTAACGTCTTTCAATTTTTACAAAATAAAACAACATTAAATTTCCAACAGACTGATGAAACATTTGTCAATGCAAATTTTTTCAGATCGTGTCCCACCTTATTAGATAATCGGTTATTTGTAACATTCATTATTCTCTTCACTACTTCTATAAAAGGAATATAGCAAAAAAAAGTATTTTACAGTTTCGAATTTCTATTTTACTGCCATAAATAATAATGAGATAAAGAAAATACGAATTATATTGCCAGCGGGACTAATAATTTTAAGTACACATTCGTGGACCTGAAGTCTTAAGTAATTAAAATATGTACATTTCAAACATTATATTGCACCTAAAGTATGAACAAACATGCATATTGTTATAATATGGTCTATTTAAATACAATGATGAAGAGATTTAATAATAACATAGAAAAAAAAATATTAAAATACGAAAATTTTTCAAAGCACATTGCAGTAATGCTTTAAATCTAAGTTTCAAAACAAGTTCAATTATGCATGCCAAGCAAAATAAAAAATTATTTAAATGAATCTAGCATTAGTTCTAAAAGAATATTTAGTTCTTGGAGGTACAATTTCAAAATTATGGAAAAATATACAAGTTATTAAATATATGTACGCACCTTAACGTACAACAATTAATTAAAATGCACATAAAAATATTACTAGTTCGATATAATCTCTCTAATTAGTAATAGATATATCTTATATAGATTTCATAATGCTATGAGATTTCTCTTGACTACTACGCTGTCATAAATTTTGCAAAGGAACACAAGCGTGGAACTGTATGTTCTTGACTGTACTATTTTTAAATATTAAGTAAATATAAACTTAAAAGCTTCATACAAATTGCAGAACTATTAAGTCAAAAGAAAAATGATTAATTTCAGAATGGCTAAACTATATAATAATTGAAATTACTATCGTTTTCGGAAAAAAAGATTCTGTGTCATTTTTCGAAAATCACGTCTGTTTATATGGAATTCTACCCAAATAATAAGTATTTTTGGCATATTTTGGAATCTCCAGAATGTTTCAGTAACGTGTATAAATTTTCTTATGGTGTGTTCTTAGAAGCTAAGAAGTGATGGTCCACATCTGTGGACCAGGGTAATGAATGGTCCGCATCTGTGGACCAAGGTAATGAAAGATCCACATATGAATTGGAATCCCCAGAAAGCTTAAACGTTCACGAATGTTTCAGTAACATGTATAAATTTTCTTATAGCGTGTTCTTAGAAGCTATGAAGCGATGGTCTACATATGTGGACCGAGGTCCATAATGAGTGCCCCCCAAAAAACGGACCACTCTGAATAACTTTTGATCTAATGATCGGATTTTAACGTTCTAGGTCTCAATCTTCATGGTTTGACGGGGTGACCTCAAACATGCTAACTAATTAGTGCATGCCCCCCCAATGGAATACCTTAAGTTACAAAATCAGACACAAAAATGTACTTTCTCTGAATGAACATACCAACCATACTTTTTTTGGCGGATTCAGATTTCTGACCCTTTATTACCATAATTTATAATTTGGCCATAATTTGGGAAATATGGACCCCTTACTTTGGTCAGGAGAGCGATCCAAAGTGTGGACCCCTTAATGTTATTTTAAATTTTTGCGTATTTTGTCATATCTCGAGAAATATTAAACGAGTTGAAAAATTTTTGCACACAATTATAAAATTCATTTGTCCAAAGACAATTCCACTCAAAAAATATATTTCAGTAAGTATTTATTATCTTCCATAAGTTACTTAATTTGATACTTTTATTGTTTGCAATGCATATGATATTATTCTAAAATATTTTTTTTTCTTTTATAGCTCTGAAGCCTCTGAATTTTAAAGTTCGTGTACCTCAATGTCAAGTCAAAGGGCCAATTGAAGTAGAACCAATTCATATTATTGTTTTGTAAGTGAATATTTCGTTTTGAAATTATTAATTCCTAAAATCCCTGGGAAATTATTAATCTCTAATTTTTTTAAAAAGAAGTACGAAGGCTGGTACCTAGGTAATTTTATCCCAGAAATTTATCATGGCAGGATTCACACGGGCAACTAAAAACACAAACTGTAGTGATTAATAAAATTCAATACTTAGTTAAAAGAGATCAAAATGAGCAACTTTTCCTAGCGTATATTTATTTGTTTACTATAGTATTATACGCAAGGCAAATAATGTTCTTTTGCTTTAAATATAAATAATTTGAATTGCAAGTCATAGCTTTTTACATTTTTAATCACCTGTGGTATCCCTGAAATCAAGTATACGCATAATACTTGATTTCTGGGAATTATTCCACACTTTGAAAAATTCTACTCCGTCCGTCCCAAATTATTTGAGATAAAGTTTTATCATTCGGGTCGAAAATCTTGTCCCAAATTAGTTGCTAAATTTCAAGACGGTGGAGTCCTAAATATCTTCAGCTGCCAGTAAATTTAATACACCATGATAGATCGATACCAGTAAGTTTAAGAGTCAAAGTGGGGCGTGGAACACTCGTAGAAACTACCGAAACATGATTATCTATCTCCATGCAAGATGGTAGTATGGAAGGCCTTTTAAAGGACTTCCATACTACCATCAATTTAAAATTACCACAATCAATTTAAAATTACCACCATCAATTTAAAATTTGATTAAAAGTAGAACAGTATCCAGAAACATATCTGGAAAAAGGTGTAGCCTCATCGAGTTTCGTCAAAGATAGGAACAAAGTCTTGGCCTAGTGTGTGTTCAAAAACATTATTTTCCATTTGTAATTTATTCCCGGTCCCCCAAACCTCTAAAAACTTTAAACTTCATTGATAAGTATGAGACTTCAGAGCTGACGTCAAAACAATACCTAATGGTATTTATGATCATGGTAGTATGATCATGGGTTAAAATCCTCTTGCCGTTGGGATAACCGTCAAAGATTTCAGTAGTTTTCCATTCCATGTAACTCAAATTCGTGTTAGTACCATCAAAAAGTCTTCCACGAAGGCAAACTTTCCCCAATACTTGATCTAGGAGTTCTTTGCTTCTGGATTAGACTCAAAATACTGTGAAGTTGAACATTGTTGTAGTTGTAGTTCATTTACGTCCCACTAGAGCTGCACAATGGGCTATTGGCGACGGTCTGGGAAACTTCCCTGAGGATGATTCGAAGACATGCCATCACAATTTTGATCCTCTGCAGAGGGGATGGCACCCCCGCTTCGGTAGCCCGACGACCTGCACGCGAAGTCGAGCACTTTACGGTAGAACAGTTTAACGAGGACCACTACCGCACACCCTCGGTCCCTACGCAGACTGATCCAAGTGATCACCCACCCGCACACTGACCACAGTCAGTGATGCTTGACTTCGTGATCTGCTGGGAACCGTGTCTTAACGATTAGTCCACTGGTGGTTCAACGCCAGTTATGAAATAAAATCCACCAATTTGTGAATCATAAATTTAATATCTAAACTTGGCTTAATTTACAAATTTTCCCCTATACTTGACCCAGGAGTTCCTTGCTTCTTGATTGGACTCAGAATACTGTGAAGTTGAACATTGACAACCGTAAAGTTAAAAATGGGCTGGCTGCTCAACGCCAGTTATGAAATAAAATCTAACAATTTGAGAATTAAACATTTAAAACCTTAACTTTGCTACCACTAGAATCATCTGAGCATGTTGGCAGTTATGTATAGGTAATTTTGGATACTTTATAAACATTATAGTATTGACATAGTATATTGATAAGTTTACATGGGATTAAAAGTATTTACTAGTAAAATTTAACTATGTATAGTTAAAAAAATAAATAAGTGTATGTTTCTTATCTTTTCAGATTCATCATCTTTCTGCTTGTAATTCTAATATGCGCCGGATCTTGGCTAAATTGGTACCTCTCAAAAATGGAATTGGAAGACAAAAAGTTTTATGATCCTAGTAAGAAATCAATCAGGGTTTGTTTTAATGAGTATTTTAAACTTTTTTTAATCATATTTACGAGCAATTTTAGAATATTAGGGCTTTCTACAGTTAAATGTAATTTTACTTTAAATTGTTAAGAATAAATTTTCAAATCGAATATTTACCATATAGATTACTTAATTGAAATTACATATATTTGCAAGCTTGTTTGCTCAATTTAGGCTTATAAACCTTTGTCACCTAGAAGAACCGATAGAACAAGTTACAGAAGAACCTAACAAAGAATATGTCCAGGATTACGGCGGGATTTNTTGAACCCGCCACTTTCACACAGCTTTTGGCGGGTTATACCGCTCAGCCCAGAAGGCCCCACTAAGTTTATTCGTTCGTTCGTTGTAGTGGAACTGGGAGTCTGAGGCCTTACGGCAAAATAAAGTTTGGGGAGCAAAATGGAGTTCCTGAGAGAGAAAAAAATGGCACTTTGCCATTATTAGGTAATAACAAAATTACAAGTAATAAAAAAGTACATGAAAAAAGGTACAATTAAAGTACAATGAGAAAATAAACTTTACAGTATTTACAGTTTGGGAATGTACACAATGGGGGGGGCGAGTTAAAGGAATGTGAGGATGTGTGTATATGTGTTAGTTAGTGTGGCTCTGTTAAAGTAGAGGCCCGGCCGTCCTGGTAATTACCACCCGCCACTAAGTTTATTAAGTTTCATTTTTTACCATAACTGTTTGAAATTCTAAAATATAGTGATACTTTATAAGTTTTTTTATATTATTTATATATTTAATTAGTTGATTTATTTATTTACTGATAATTTAAATTTTGTTCTCATATTCTTAGAAACATAACTTAATTATATATTCCTATAGTTTTCGGTGAATGTAAAAGAATAATAAAAACATTCTCTGACAGAAATAAAAATTTAGTTCAAGACTTCCACAATCGGGAAAATTCGGAATCTGATATTACTCCACAAATTTAGTACCAGCAAAAACAAAATATATTAATGGGATGCCTTAACCATCAATCTAAAGTGCAATAAATTAGTACTTGTATAAAAACAACAAAAAATTTAATCCCCAATGTCATAAAAAAAATCAATAATAAATTTCAAGCGGCATTTCATACTAACACATTTTCTTCAATTATTTTGTTTTCAATTCAGTATTATAAATGCTATTAAAATATAATAAAATAAATAAATCTGGTGTCAAAAACATGAAAAATAATTTCCTAAAACACATCATGAAAACGCGTTTCGAAAGAAAAAGAGCATCCTTATATCAGACATTTAATTCAACAATTAAATGACTCATTGTTTTCCAACGAAATTGGATTCAAACATTTTTGCTCCTCAATTTTAGAACAAAGAAAATAAAAACATCAATAAAATTCCGTAACCATCAGTCATAAGTGTAATAAATTTAAAAAAGCTAGACATTTCTGGACCTTTGCTTATTGTAAGGTCAACACTTTGAAGCTGTTTCATTAATAGGAGAGCTGATTGTTGACTGATTGTAAGGAAAGCTTCTTACGAAATTCTTAAAATTTAATGAATAAATCAGTACATATTACACCCCATTTTCCTTTTGTCATATTTTTCTCAGTGGTGATTTATTTGAATAATTACACATCATTTAATTCTTGTTTGGCATCATTTGCATAATTTAATTCTTGTACTTAATGTTGTAATAACTGAGTAGTTACAAAAGCAAACAATAAAGATTAAAACATTATTGTTTATTTTATTAACCAAATTCATTTTGACACAATTCATTCTTTTCGCATTGTTCTGAAATCTTTTATAGTTAAGCTTGTTTACAAACGAATACTTTCGTAATAATTTATCATTACTTTTTCGTTAATTCATTATTTATTATTTAAACTATATTAAAAAAGGACACAAACTCATAGTGTTTTTTATTTTTTTTATTTTCATTTATTTATTTATTTACTTATTAGCAGTTTCTATTATAATTAAACAAGCGTAAAAGGGTGTTTATTTATAATTAAAATTTGATTCTATACAGAAAGTTTTTTATAACCCGAAATTAATTTATAAAAATAAATTATGTTTGATAATTTTTAGACGAAAAAAAGCTATCTTAAGTAAAAATGCGTAAGTGTTATGCTCAAATCCTACTAAATTCTGAAGTTCTATTAACTAAAATTAGTCTTAAAAATATCTTTCTTTAGCTAATAAATATTATAATATTTCGAGAATATTATACATTTGTCTAAATGTGAAAACTGTAAAATTGAATTCCTAATATTAAATGGAACAAAATCTATAAAATTTCAGTGAGTATCATGATACATTTGTCGCTATTGTTTTTATTTTTTCAGTACGTATGAGCGCTTGCATGCAAGTTTTAGTTCTCTTTACAATTTAGAATCACATAAAAGTAACTAGTTCAGATTTGTTCTTTTATTATATATTTCTAGGTTTTGGACAAAAAGCTCTCCTAGCATTTTCTATACAAGCCAATTCTCAAAAACTATTATCTTCAGAGAGTCGTACCGGAGGGATGAAATGTCTTCATGGGATCCGTGCCTTGAGCATGACATGGGTCATTCTTGGACACACTTACATTTGGATCATATTTCAGTCACTTAGTAAGTTAAAAAATTTTATTATTGTTGTTGTCTTGTCCAGTAGTGCAAGGAAAATTAAATTTGTCCAAAAGTATCTGAAACAGCTTTGGCCACATCAATAATCTCTATGGAATAGAGGAGTTGCTGCGGGGAATCCGGATGGATCCTGAAGAGCTTCATCAATATGGCTGGGAAATCAAAGACATATTTGGGAGAGAGTTCGGTGTTCGGCTTCTGTAGCTTCGATGGCCATCTGGAAATATTTTCATTCCCTTGAAGTGCTTAGTCCTCAATCTAGCTATGGTTGTGAAAATGGCTCTATCACAGTTTAGGTCAGGGATGGAGCGCTTCTGAGAGGTAGCAGAAAGTAGTCTGCGACTGGCTATCACATCAGCATCAGTTAGGGTCATGCTATTGGAAAGTTGGGAGTTATCTCGGGCCTCCTTGGCCAGGATATCATCTTTCTCATTACCATCGATATCGACGTGTGCTGGTATCCATTGAAGGATACAAGTTCTTTGGGCAGTGGTTATTACGTTTAAGAGCAGGATGATATCTTGGGTGTGTTGGGAGTCTCCTCCTAAAATGACCTGGAGGGCAGAGCGAGAGTCCGAGAATAACAGAAATCCATTAGAATTTTGGATTGCCTAAATAAAATTTACACAACGAATAATAAAATTTTTACTTGTTTCGTGAAAGGAAATGTTTCCCTAATCAAAAATCTTGCTGAAAATTTTCGAAATGTTAGAAAAAATTTACAAATCTTTAAGATTGACTTATGATCTGAGTAAAGAAATTAGCAGAATAATGTTGAAAGTTTCAATTGAGGTGATTAAAAAGTCTAATGTTAGCATTAAGCATCATATTGAGCTCTCGGAAAAAATCGGTTCCATGTTGAACCATAATATAGGCCCTTTAAAACCATAATACGTCAAAAATTTGCGGCAGCCTTTTATAAAGTTTTAATATTGAAAATTTTTCCATTCAAGTGGAGCCGTAGAATCATGTAATCAAGTTTAAGAAATATGATAAAGTAGTTCGAGATTTATGGGCATTTAACAACCTTCTTAATGGTACGGAAATTTGAAAAATGTTTTAATCTTCATATAATGAAGTTTTGAACAGTTTAAGTTACACAAAACATCCTGATCACAAGATACGATTTGTCATGTTGACTCGTTTTTAAAACCGATAAGCCTTTACAAGTCGAGACTGAAGAAACAGTAAAAAAAAAAATTTAAGTATATTTTATTTTTAAAAAATGGGAAAAAAACATCCTGATTTCAAAAAAACGTTTTGCCATGCAGATCCGTTTGTAAGCTCGTTATAAGGGACTTAAAAACTCGCGACTGATGAATTAAATACATTTTTAAGCATACTTATATCAAACATCCTGATTTCAAAAAACGTTTTGTCATGCAGATCCGTTTGTAAGCTCGTTATAAGGGACTTGAAAACTCGCGACTGAAAAATTAAATGCATTTTTATGCATACTTAGATCAAACATCCTGATTTTAAAAAGAAAAAAACGTTTTGCAATGCAGATCCGTTTTTAAGCTCGTTTTAAGGGATTTGAAAAGTCGCGACTGAAGAATTAAATACATTTTTAAGCATACTTATATCAAACATCCTGACGTCAAAAAACATTTTGCCGTGCAGATCCGTTTTTAAGCTCGCTATAAGGGACTTGAAAAGTCGAGACTGAAGAATTAAATGCATTTTTAAGCATACTTATATCTAACATCCTGATTTCAAAAAACGTTTTGCCATGCAGATCCGTTTTTAAGCTCGATATTAGTAACTTGAAATGTTGAGATTGAAGAATTAAAAACATTTTTAAGCAAATTTATAACAAATATCCTGACTACAAAAACCACTTTGCCTTTCAAATTCGTTTGTAAGTTTGATATTAGGATGTTGAAAAGTCAAAGCTGAGGAGTTAAAAGCATTTGAAAAGCGTTGGCAAATAAGAACGCATTTGGTGTTGAAAAGGTTAACTATTATTTAACCCTTTAATGGGGCCTTTATTTCCAGTAAAGGTAAATTAAAGTATTTTTGGAATTGAAATTGTTTTAAGAACAGTAATTGATATTTAAAAGAACTCATTTAGTTTATAAAAATGCAATTTTTTTGGTGGTGAATATATTTAATATGAACTATTAGGAACTTACTGACTTTTATTTTTCTTTATTTATAAAATAAATTCCTTAAATGCTACAAACTTCGAAAGGAATTATGTATTTTATAACTTTTATACGTTTTTTAAAAGTGACAAATGGTTACCAATTTTATTCAAACTCACTTCAAGAAAGCTGAAGTTATTGAAAAATGGAAACCTAAATTAAAAGTGGTAAAACGTGGTGGTAAGTATACTTACCACGGCCTTCAAAATGGTTAATACTTACAGCTTTTCTTAAGTAGAAGTTTAGCAGTTTAATTAGTTTAAGTATTTTTTTCGCGTGCTAATATTGTGAACCATCAACTAAAATCTGTAAGCATTCTAAGAAAAAGTTATTGTTACCTGGGTCTTGCTAGAACTAGTTAATATGATCGCATTTACACACCTTATCTTTGTAATTAGCTTAATATAAGTTCTAATGCAACAAATATATCTTGCAGGCCAACCCATCAAAGCTAGATATTGGCTTCGTAACATTGAGTTTGAAGCTGTTCTCAACGGATGGCTATCTGTATCCTCTTTCATCTTCCTCAGGTAAGAAGATAATTTAAAATTTATTTAAGAAGCTTGAGACAGTGTAATGATAAGCCACATTTTCTAATTACTCATGGCGTTTCTGATGGAAAGTTAATTGTGCTGAAATCTAGTGGAAAATCTGATGAAATACCTGGATACAATACTAAGAAACAATTTGACATTAAAAATATCTTTTTGAGCAATGGTGCTTATCATTACATTGATCCAAGTTTTTCATTTTACACTAGATTTAGACTTTTTCTGTGATGAAAAGTTTATAGATGCATTTAATATTAGATGAAAAAAATATTCTTTTTGTTATTTATAGTGGACTGCTAACCACTTTCAGCACTTTGAAATTCATGAATGCTTCCAGGGGACGTCTTAATGTTTTTTTATATATTTTACGTCGATTTCTAAGGTGAGCTACAGTTTTTATTTTAACATTCGAATTTTTTATCTTTGCCTGTGGAACTAAAAATGCGTGTTTCAATCTATACATATATTTAATAAACAAACTTAAACAATTTTTATAAACAGTAGCAACTTAATGTTTTTAAGTTGTTCAAGTTTGTAGAATCTGTTATTGGTGTATGAAGTAAGCAGAGATGCCAACTGCTCCGGACACGCCAAAATAATTTTAAAAACTGTAAATAACTACAGAGTAAATTTTGCAAATATTTGACTACTTTTGCTTGCTTTTTAAAAGGTATAGCATTACATTAGGTGATATGAAGTGGTGAATTATATAATCCTGCGAATTATTTAGAAATAGTGGTGGATGAAATCTACTAAATTGCATTTATTAAACCAAGAATCATAAGTGATAAACTACCACTTTAAAATATATATTTACTGTCCGGAGCAAGTTGGCATCTCTGAATAAGTGCTATCCTTTTGCCACCACAATGTAGCAAAATTTCAAAATGTTTTTAAACACAATGTATATATGTCACGATGTATGGGATAGGGGACGCTGCGCGGCCCAGGTGCCCAGTTCTTTTTAAATAAAGCGAAAGCGAATAAGTGCTATCCTTTTTCCTATCCGACGGAGTTTTGTCCCGTAAATTTTGTAAATAGCTGTAAATACTTGTAAATAATTTTGCGCATTTATTATGTATTTCTCCTTTTCCCTGGGGCTATGTGGCTACTGTGCACCTGTGAAGCTCGGGGTAATACCTCGAAGGGAGGCGAGGCAGTCTGCCACAAAACCTCTTCTCTCTCTCTCAAACTTGTTTGTTCAATCTCACTACTTCATTTTAATTTTCTCTCAGTAAAAGATACTGAACCCCAACTTTCACCTTTCAGTTGCGCTTCGGCGATTTATTATTTATTTCCACTCAGATGAATTAGTT